GGATTTTAGACGTTCGTGTTATCATCTCAGGAAATCTGGATTTTAGACGTTCATGTTATCATCTCAGGAAATCTGGATTTTAGACGTTCGTGTTATCATCTCAGGAAATCTGGATTTTAGACGTTATCATCTCAGGAAATCTAGATTTTAGACGTTCGTGTTATCATCTCAGGAAATCTGGATTTTAGACGTTATCATCTCAGGAAATCTGGATTTTAGACGTTCGTGTTATCATCTCCATTTTGAATATATTTATCTTGTTTCCATTCAGAGTTACTTCATATAGCGCTTCGTAACTTATGTTTCTGGATATTTTGAACCATTTAAAATCGTTTATAATAAACCATTGAGGCGATGCTTGCAAGACTGACAAGTAGTGTTGCCAAGTCTCGTGAAAAAAACAAGCGGCACTGCCATTCAAAACAATCGGCACTACCGTACCGTTCAAAACTAAGCAGCACTGCCGTTCAAAACAAGCAGCACTGCCGTTCAAAACAAGCAGCACTACAGTTCAAAACTAGCGGCACTACCGTTCAAAACTAGCGGCACTACCGTTCAAATCTAGCGGCACTACCGTTCAAATCTAGCGGCACTACCGTTCAAAACTAGCGGCACTACCGTTCAAAACTAGCGGCACTACCGTTCAAATCTAGCGGCACTACCGTTCAAAACTAGCGGCACTACCGTTCAAATCTAGCGGCACTACCGTTCAAAACTAGCCCAAAACAAACAGTACCGACTTTCGAAACTGTTGTTTTTTTGTTTGTTTTTTATGGCTTACCCTCAAAATAGCGATTTGCGCAATTTAACAGGAATATAATGCGTATCAAGTGGGCGGACCAGAAAGTTCATGATTGTAGGCTAGTTTAAAAATCTAATACTGTGTAGGCTAATCATTGTCCCAGTTAATCACTGAAACCTCTCCTACAACTATTTTACTGTGTGTTGAAATCAGCTAATGCAAAAAAAAAGCCCAAATAAGCGACCTTGGAATAAAACAAGCCCCGAAAAACCGCAACACGCGACTCTCAAAAACTTTCAGCGACTGTTTAAAAAAGATAAGCCTAATTCCGCTTGTTATAAGTGGACTTGACAACACTGCTAACCATTAGGTTTAATGCTACTCAAATTTCTCATTGCATGAATTTAACTAGAGTACATTTTGTTTTAACGTCAAAGGGTCCTCTGACTGCACCGTGTGCGTCTGGTGTTTGGAAGGTTTTAACCTCCTGAATACCATCAGTTTAACCTCGGCTATCTGCCACATCGGGGTGTCTTGTGACTCGACCTTTCTGCTAGTGGCTTGCGAGGACAACTCAGTACACGTGCGATCTTTGACCACAGGTTCGGACGTCCACTGTCTACTTGGCCATCACGGAAAAGTGACCAGTTTATGCTTTGCCAGAGATAACTGCCGTTGTGTGGTCGGTTGCCATGATGGTAAAATCTATATTTATGATATTCATTCAGCCAAGTTGTTGCAGACTTTGGGAGGACATTCGGATGCAGTCGTTAGTCTACAGGTAAGCTAACGTTCAGGATATTCTAGCTTAAGGATTGGGTTTTGCTATACATTCGTGGAACGATCGCTCACTATGATACTAACATCAAAACGAAATGGGTGTACGCCCTCTATAGGATATACAGTTGTTTTAGACAGTGTAGAAAAACGTAGCTAGAAAGTGTTTATAGCAGTCTATGAAACGAATCGAAGCTAAATTATTGCAAAGTAAAGTAAATGTAAAATTTTAATTAAGGCAAACTTAGCTGAATATACAGAAACGTCTGATTGCGTGTTCAAAAAGTGATAAGCATATGATTTTGAACAAACTGCACATGCATATTTTAGACCTAAATGAGTCGAAAAAGCCCACAGAAAGTGTATTTAGTATAGTGTTAATGTTTTTAGGAAATTACACGTGGGTTAAGTGTTAAATGTGTGAAATACTTTGCAAACAAAACAAGAGGGAATCCTCAATAGCGCGGTACATGACATTCTTTTTGGCAGGATTAGATTAAATTAATCTATAACACTTTTTAGCTGCTGCGTAGCGGCTCATAGAATGGTTCTGAGTTTGTTTCTTTTTTTTCATGTACTAGCTTTTTGCTCATAGTTCCGTCATCTCTTGACCGATTTGAGGTCTAATTACAGTTTCGGACTCAGGAGGTTAAACCTTTTCGATTGGTGTATTTGACCACGCCCATTAATTTACTCTAATCCTGCCTAAAATAATTTGAATTTGAGGGTAGGCTGGTAGAGATCCTAATGAGTAATAAAATGGGATCGAGTATACACGCTCCATACGCTTGGTATTGCTGGCGCACACAACTATAGCTAAT